GCCCCCCCCCCCCCCCCGCCTCTCTCTGCACCTGACCTTAAGGGCAGCTCTCTATTGGATATGTGCCGGTCGAATGGGCTGCTGATTTTCAATGGGCGGTCTGTCGGCCAGTCTCCTCAGTCTGTCACCTCAGCTGCTACATATGTGCAGGGGCGGGGCACTGTGATTGACTATGTGCTGGCATCGCCATGTCTGTACCCGGTGGCCACGCATTTCCGACCGACGCTTACCAGCCTGAACACACAGCACCTTGCTCTGTTCTTTGGCCTGCAGGCGGATACCGAACCGCAGGCAGTGACTGACCTTCGTGCTCGTATTCAAGCAGCGTGTAACAATCCCAGCCGTCTTTTATACCGGTGGGCGGACTGTGATATTCATGCCATTGCTAGTGATTTGGCGACTGACCCACTGCACACGTCCTTGCGTACTGAGCTGCTGCATGCCATGCAAGCGCACGACGCGGTACGTAGTCAGGTGGCTGCTGGCCGTCTACTAGACTCGCTGACCCACATATTCCATATGCACTCTTCACGTGTCGACTGCCGTCAGCGAGCCGCTGATGGGATTTTGCGAGGCCTGGCTGGCCATGGCCCTCGCACCACTCTGTCTGCCCTTGCCCTCCCACCTGCTCTTCACTGTGCTATTCGTGATGCACGGCGTGCGCATGCGTACTGGCGTTCTGTATGTCTTGGGGGCGATGCTAATGCACGGGCAGCTGCTTACGACGCATTCCGCGGGGCGCGGGCGCATCGTAAGTCTCTCTGCAGGGCGTATCGCCGGCATGCTGTGCGTGCAAAGTTGTCTGAGCTTGTGTTGTCTCGCCGTGTGAAGGCAAGAGATTTTTGGCGTATTTTCGACTCGTCACGTCGGGCGCTCCCTCCCCTCCCCCTGCACACACCCACATTGCAGCAGCAGACAGACTTTTTCGCCCATCTTTTTGCGGGCCGTGATGTCCCCTATTTCGATCCGGCTGCACCAGTCTCAGCCGCTGATCGTAATGCTCAAGCCAGGCAGCGTCATGTGCCAGTAGACTGGTCGAGTACTTCCTCTTTCGCTCCTCCTGCTCTTGAAGCGATCCTGTCTCATTGCACTTCGACTAGCTCTCCTGGTATGGATGGCATCACTTATGCTGTCGTCAAGCGTGTTGGCCATCCCGCTCTGTCTGATCTCAGCCAGGTCTTCACTGCCTTCTTTCGGACGGGTGCATGGGCGTATGAACATGATCGTATTCTTATTCATCCATTGCACAAGAAGGGGCCTACGGATGTGCCCGATAATTATCGCGGCATCCATTTGTTGCCTGTTTGGTCGAAGTTGTTTGGCCACTTACTGATGAATGCTATTCTCTCGCAAACATCCATATGCCCGGAGCAGGCAGGATTTCGTCCTGATCATTGTACGGTGGGTCAATGCTTTGTGTTGGGTACTCTGATAGAGAAGGCTCGGCGCGCGAGACAGCCCCTGTATGTCTGTTTTGTTGATTTTCGCAAGGCCTTTGACACGATACATCGTGAGCTCCTGTGGGATGCGCTTCGCCGGAAGGGCATCTCAGAGCAGCTCGTGCGTACGCTTGAGGCACTCTATGCTAATGTCGAGGCATGTGTTGATGGTGGGTTTGAGGGCTTGTCAGCTGCCTTCAATGAGGTGTTTGGGGTTAAGCAAGGGGACGTACTGGGGCCTCTGCTCTTCTCTCTCTTCATCGAC